CAACTAGGGTTGGTGTTATTTTAGACCAACCAATATGCAATGAGTTCGGGTTAATCAATAACTTCTTGGTAAAGGATCATCTAGGTAAGTTAGATTGTTATATGATAGTATTTCACATTCAGATTGCAGGTGAAGAATATGGCTCTGAAACTAAATTGTTAAACACTTTTTTTAAAAAAAAAAAAGCACAATTACAATGGTAGAGGACAAGTTGGCTAAACTGGAATGGGAAAATAGATTAACAGGTAGAGAAGGAGCTATTTCACAGCTCATAACAAAACTTTATTTCACTCAGAAAGAAAAAGTCTGTGAAGAATGCACCATCTATGGCTAACAAGATTGAGGATGGCAGCAATTTGAAAGAAAAGATGTACAATACTACTGAAATTAGTGGTAGGTTGGAAGGTTGTTTTTAAAATAGAAATGAGCAAAATATGTTTTAAAAAGAAGAGGGCAAAAATGGAGCATTGGAGCAAATCAGAAACATAAAAATACAATTGAAAGTTTTAGCAAAGATTTGTAGCTCGGGTTGTGGGTGAGGTTGTTGACTTGCTCGCCGAGCTGTCTTGTTTTCGTTCAGAGGTTTCATCACCGTGCTAGGTGACATCATCAGTGGAGCCTCTGATGAAGCGCTGTTATTCTACTCTGCTTGGAATTTATACTGTCTGGTCCGTTATGGTGAGTGGTGCCATTTCCGGTTTTGATCTGTATGGGTTTGTATATGGGGTCCAATTCTATAGGTTTGTTGATTGCGTTACGGGTGGAGAGCCGTGCTTCTACGAATTCCCGTGTGTGTCTATGTATCAGCCCAAGCCAAACATATACACACACGGGAATTCCTAGGGGCATGGCTCTCCACCCGTCATGCAATCAACAAACCTATAGAATTGGACCCCATACAGATCAAAACCGGACATGACACCACTCACCATAACGGACTGGACAATATGAACTCCAAGCAGAGTAGAACTAAATCGCTTTATTGGAGGCTTCACTGATGATGGCACCTAGCATAGTGACGAAACGTCTGAACAAAAACAAGCCAGCTCGGCGAGCAAGTCAACAACTTCCATAAAAAGACAGTTTTAAAAACTTCTACAAATATATAAGCCATAAAAAACAAAAAATTAGCTGAGTTCAGCATTAGCCCCTTGAGGGCGAGGCTGGGGAATTAATATTGGGAATCATGGAAATGGTTAAGACCTTGAACAAATATTTTGTATATATCTTTGTTACAGAAGCAAAAAATAAATCCTAAGAATTTTAAGAAAATCAAGGAGCAAAAGGGTAGGAGGAATGTAAAATTATTGCTAGAGAAAAAGTATTGGGAAAATCAATTGAACTAAATACTGAGAAATCTCCCGGTCCTGACTGCATGCACCCTAAGGGATTAAAGGAAGTTGCCGAATAAATAATTGGGCGTTCGTCGTTTGTAGCCTTTTAAAATTCCCCACATTCTGGAAAGGTTCTAGCAGTTTGGAAAGCTACATATATATCTGTAGAACAATCAAATAGTATCAACCTGATTTAGTGAAAGGGAAATTATTTGACAAATTTATTAGCTATTTGAGGATGTAACAACTGGTTAGATTAAAAAAAGAACCAGTAGATGTGTATTTGAATTTCCAAAACTTGTTTGATGTACAATCTTAAAAGTAGCAGCAATTGATAGGGGTGGGGTGTTATCAACATGGATAGAGGATAGCTAGTTACCAGGAAACAGATGGAACAAATGGATCAGTTTTAATTAAGCAAATTGTAACAAACAGAGCCACGGGGATCAGTGTTGGACAGTCAACTATTTACAAGCTATATGTGTGACTGATGAGGCGATCTACTACTGTAACCAAATTTGCTGGTAGTACAAAGATACACAGGAAAGCAAGATATGTGGACCCAAATAATCTGCAAAGGGATATAGGTAGGTTAAGTGAATGGGCAAAAAGATGGAGTATAACGTGAGACATGAGAAATTGTCCACTTTGGCAAGAAGAATAGAAAAGCAAAATATTATTTAAAATAGAGTGACTGCACATTGCTGTCATAAAAAGGGATCTCAGTGTCTTAGTACATGAAAAGTCAACACACAGGTACAGCAAGTAATTAGGAAAGCAAATGGTGTGTTGGCCTTTATTTCAAGGAGAATATAAAATGAAAGTAGAGAAGTCTTGCTACAGCTGTGCAGAACATTGGTGAGATTGCACCTACAATACAATGTACAGTTTTAGTTTCTTTATTTAAGGAGATGCATATTTCCACTGGAAGCAGTTCAGAGAAAGTTCGCTTGTTACTTTCTAAGAGGAAAGTTTACTGTATTATTCTGTCCAATTATTGTAGTTTTTTGATTTAGTTACCTCAGTATAAATGTACTTGTACTTGTTCAATTGGATGGCCACACAAAATAGCAGTAGTTGATTCAATTTTGAGTCAATTTCTCCTCGAATACCATAATCTACCGCGATGTCCGAGTAGACAGTTGGAGTTGCAAGTGAGAAGGCTCTTTGCCAGTGCATTTTATTTACGGCAAAGTTACATTATTATTTAAGTGATTTATGCTACAAATAAAGTATAACAATGATGTGTATAGCCTCTGCATTATGTTTGTATTACTTAGTATGTGTTTTTACATGTGGACCTCTTGATTATTCGGAATATTTGATCAGTTGGCACACTCTTGGTCCAATAGGTGCAGGTAATAAAAAGTTTACTTTATGTGGAATTAGGCCACACATCAACCATGATCTAATTGAATGGTATACTCCTTTTTACTATGTTCCTTATGATGTTACAGTCAGTTGAATTAAATCAGTATTTTAATGGAACACGTTTGCTGTTCATAAACTATTCACTTGATCAATATTGTACTACACTTGTATCACATAGTATTTAAGATCTCTTTGTTTTTACTTTCTAGGGTGATATTCCATGGGATGATAAAGAATTTCGATTTTACTTTCTAGCAGGTGCAGCATTTTGGGCAACTGTTGCATATTACATTTTCTTCAGGAATGTTGGCAGAGAAATTACTTGGAAAGACTTTGTCAACAATTACCTTTCTAAAGGAATTGTAAGTGATAAAATATTGGGAATACCTGATTATTGTTAAATGTACTGTTATTCCATATAGAGAAGGGACTTTCTAATATTCTAATAAGCATAGAGGCAACGTGATTAGGGGTACTGGTTCATGGTCACTGATAAAGTGAAAGCCTGTCTTTAATACCTGGATTTCTAGAAGGGTTTTGTAATTTTAGGAATAATCCTCAAGGTTCTTTTAATAGCTGCAAATGTGTTGTCATTGTGATTGTTTCCTTTTGTGACAAGTTTAAAACTTTGAAAAATACTTTAGTCACTAGAAATGATGGCAACGTTGATATATTTAGAGAAAGTAGTTTCATTTTTTAGTCAACAAGTGTAAAAGAATGATCCTAGCCTATCCTTAGAAAGCTTAACAATAACCAATTTTCACCAGTTTTGCTAGATTTATTTTATTCTGAAGGTTCTCACCTTTCTTAGCTCATTCCTGTAAAATAACTGTTACCTGGCAGATCTATTTCACTTATCTCCCTAGCATCTGACCCTCTTTATTGTTTTTTTTCATTTAGGTTTTGTTTAAGTCCAACTCTGCTTTATGGGTGATTGTTGTTTGTAAAGTGTTCCTATTGATTTGAACAATTTTGATTGCCTTCAGTCAAGTTCAGTTGATTGGCTTAGGTGTGATAGTTGCTTGTCCTGCTCTTCAACTAATCTGATTTGGTCCCCTTAGCTTACTGTACCACTTTTTAATAGATTGATGCCCAAAAGTGCCCATCTGCAGTGGCTTAAACCATACTTGTCTTATTAAGTGCTTGATGATGGATATAAAATCTGCCTAATTGCTTAATACAATCTTTAACAATCAAATCTGGCATTCTCTTTTTTTCTAAACTGAATTGTGCATGTTGAGCTTACAAAAAAAATTCAATTACCCTGTCTCTGCTGCCTTCTGAGGCAGAGTTCCAAAATTACACAGCCCTCTCAGTAAAGAAAATTTTCATTTTGAAATGACAACCACTAATTTTAAAACTGTGCCTTCCAGTTCTGCACGATTGCAGAAGAGGAAACATACTTTTCACATCCACTTTGTCAAGATCATTCAGGATCCTATAAACTGCAAACAAGTCATCCTTCATACTTGGTGAAGTTTGTCCTTTAACAAAATTTGATAGCTGAACAATTCAGGATTGTTTCTTTTATTATCATTGTAAACCTCAGTACTTTTAGTTGAAAGTCTAATGAATGGATTATGAAATACATTCCTTGGGTTTCTTTGGGATGAAAATGAAGGTCATTGGTGCGTTGATATTTTATAATGACTGACTAAATATATTATCCTTTTTGTTGCTAGGTGGACAGATTGGAAGTGGTAAACAAGCGCTTTGTTAGAGTAGTTTTTACACCAGAGAAGTTAGCAGTGGATGGGGTAAGTTGACCATGTACAAATCCAAAATTCCACAAGGAGGATTGTTATGACTTGCTAAGTGCACTATTCTAAAGGTTCTATATAAATGCATGTTATTGTTGCTGCTTATGTCGTAGTATTTTCAAAGTCTTTTCCCAGCAGTGATTCCAAATTCTAAATAGTTAACAGCAGATGGGTGCAGCACAAATTATTGAGAGATTCCATTTCCTACTGCCCCCACCATTCTGAATGGCTACTCGTCTGTAATCTACTTTCTGCCTTGCAGACAGTTGACTATCTATTCTTCTCCCTGACCCTGATTCCTGATGAATTGACCTTTTATGTTCTGCGGTACCTTCTTGAAGGAATTACAGGAATTCTGTACATATTATGTCTACTTCATTACTCTTGTCTTTTTTTAAAATTTGATAATGAGATGTTGGTGTCACTGGCTGGGCCAACATTTATTGTCTACCTCAATCCCATGTGAGAGCAGTGGCGAGCTGCTTTCTTGAACTGTCACGCACCATTTGCAATATTTTGCTATTGTGCCAATATGTAATTATTATGCCTTAATGTCTGTAGTAAAACCTATTTTAGTGGAGATTAAAGTGTCATTCCACTTCTTAATGGCTGTCCATTATGATGGTTAACTTTGAATCCTCTGGTAAATATTTAAACTAGACATTTTAAACACGGAACTCTTTTACTTCTAGAACTTTTATGCAAATAATTTTTTTATACTCGGTTATAATTTGATTTTTTACCAGTCATTTCTCTTTTGCTCTGTGCCGAGATATACTCCTCTGGAGACCCCTACCCTGAGAAGCGAGTTGTGACTCACATGCAGCATTTCTTTAAAAAAAAACCCAAAGACCTGCAGATGCTCAAAATCAGAAACAAAAACAGAAATTGCTGGAAAAGCTGAGCAAGTCTGGCAGTATCTGTGGAGAGAAAGCAAGGTTAACATTTCAGGTCCAATGACCCATCTTCAGAACTGATTGTAGCTTGGAAAAGTTGGTCTATCTGCTGAAGATGGGGTGGGGTCAGGGGGGAAAGGAGTAACAAAGTGGAGATGGAGCCCAGAGAGAGAGAAAAACAGTTGGGCAGACAAAGAAATGTATAAAGTTCAGTCTGGGAAAATCAGTAACTGTTAATGAGCACTTTTAGTGGTTGGATTTTTGTGGTAGCAGCCCGTATGAGAACAAGGTCTGGTGTTTGGGGGTTGGGGTAAGGACATGGGAGAAGATGCTCAGGCTTTAAAATGATCAAACCCTATAGTGAGTTCTGAAGGCTGTATGGTCCCCAGTGGAAAATGAGGTGCTGTTTTTTCAGTTGGTGCTGAGCTTCGCTGGAGCACTGCTGCAAGCCTAAGATAGAGATATTGGCTGGGAAATAGTGGTGTATGAAGGTATATGCCAGGCAACAGGAAGCTCAGCTCAGCTCAGCAGGTCTGGCAGCATCTGTGAAGGAAAAAAACAGAGTTAATGTTTTGGGTCCGGTGACCCCTCCTCAGAACCGGACCCGAAACGTTAACTTTTTCTTTCCTTCTCAGATGTTGCCAGACCTGTTGAGCTCTTCCAGCAACTTTGTTTTAGTTCCTGATTTACAGCATCCATAGTTCTTTTGGTTAACTGGAAGCGCAGGGTCATTTGCGGACAGAACATAGGTGTTCTGGAGAGTGGCCACCAATCTGCGTTTTTTGTCTCCCAAGTGTACAGCAGACCATATTGTAAACAGTGAACACATTAGACTAGATAGAGAGAAGTGCAGGTAGATTATTGCTTCATCTTGAAAGTGTGTCTGGGGCCTTGGATGTTGAGGGCGAGGATGTAAATGGGCAGGTGTTGCACCTTCTGCAGTTGAATGGAAAGGTGCCAGCAGGGAGTGGGAAGGTGTGGGCAGTGGGCCAGGGTGTCCTGGAGGAAACAATCCCTGCAGAAAGCTAACAAGGGAAGGGAGGGGAGGGGAGGGGAATATGTGTCCAGTGGTAGTATTCTGCTGGAGGTGGTAGAAATGGTGGCTAATGATCCTTTATTTGTGGTTGCTGGTGGAGTGTTAAGTGAGGACCGGGGGACCCACTGTTATGGGAACAAAGAGAAGGAGTGAGGGCCGAAGTGCAGGAGATGGGTCGGACACAGCTGAAGGTGCAACACCTGCCTATTTACTTCCTTCTCGCCATCCAAGGCCCTAGACACATGTTCCAGGTGAAGCAGCAATTGACCTGCTCTTCAGTCAATCTAGTCTACTATATTCTCTGTTTACAATGTGTTCTGCTCTGTGTTGGGGAGATGAAATGCAGACTGGATGACCACTTTGCTCAACGCCTACGTTCTGTCTGCAACATGATCCTGACCTTCCTGTTGCCTGCCACTTCAACACACGACTGTGTACCCTGTCCAACAGCCCCTGTCTGATGCTTGCTGCAGTGTTCCAGTGAAGTTCAGTACAAGCTGGAAAAAAGGCCCCTCATTTTCCACTAGGGGACCTGATAGACTCCAGAACTCGATATCAAGTTCAACAATTTTAATCCCTGAGCACTATTTCCTGTGTCCTTACCCCAACCCCGACACCCCAGACCTTGTCATCACGTGGGCTGCTGCCACAAACTACCTGTCAGTCACTAATGATCCCCAGTAGCAGCTGTTGATTCTCCCAGGCTGACTTTTACCCATTACTTTGACCAACTATTTTTTTCTCTCTGGGCTCCATCTCCACCTATCGTTTTATTACTTCCCGTTCCCCACCCCAACTTCATATATACACCAACCATTTTCTAGCTACAGTCAGTTCTGAAGAAGTGACTGGACCCAAAATGTTAATGTTAACTCTGTTACAAAAACAGAAATTGCTGGAAAAGCTCAGCGGGTCTGGCAGCAGTTCATGTTAACTCTGTTCTCTCCACAAATGCTGCCAGACCCGCTGAGTTTTTCCAGCAATTTGAGTTCTTGCAGCATTTCTATGATGGCCTGACCTAGCTGTAGAGCAAAAAGCCTCATTAGAAACTGATTACAAGCTGAGACAAGCTATTTGTACTCTGTTAATCTTTGGAAATGTTATTAATTTAGATATTGGGCCATCGACTTTTGTAATCATTGAATCCCTGTAGAAGCAGACCATTTGGCCCAGTGAGTCCACACTGACCGTCTGAAGAGTATCCCACACAGACCCACTCCCTTTCCTACCCTTGTAACTTTGTATTTCCCATGGCTAATCCACCTGACCTATACATCCTGGACACTATAGACAATTTAGTATGGCCAATGCACCTAACCTGCATAACTTTGGACAGTGGGAGGAAACTGGAACACCCGGTAGAAACCCACGCAGACCCAGGGAGAATATGCAAACTCCACACAGACAGTCACTTAAGGATGGAATCGAATCTGCGTCCCTGGCGCTATGAGGCAGCAGTGCTAACCACTGAGCCACCATGCTACCCATTTGCCTTATTGTCTCGGGAATTGGGAATCAGATGCAAGTGTTGGCTTGTCTTAGTGATGGCTGTCATTTCAGGGTCAGAGAATTCAAGAGGACAAGTATAGATTATCCAGGCTGACCTATCAGTGCAATTTTGAAGGAGTGCCTTATGGGTGAGATGTAAACCGACAAAAAAGATCCAATGGCAGTATTCAAAGAAGGGCAGTGGATATCCACTGGTGGCCTTGCCAACCATTATCTTCAAGCCAGTGCAATGGAACCAACTAATAGATTACTTATCTCTTTAGTGAGTGCTATGAACAAATTAACCATTGTGTTTGTCTGCATAACAACAGTGGTTACACTTCAAAAGTAATTCATTAGCTGTAAATTCTTTGAGATGAGCTAAATGCAGAAAGATGTTATCGAAGTACAAATTTTTGATCCCAAGTAAAGGCTATACAGTTATGATCCAAGCTTGTTATTACTGGACAATTCAGATCCCAAAGAAATATGGTTTGATAGTCTTTTTTGGTCTCAGCAAGTGGTTTTTCACTGAAATGTAAACGCATAATGCTGTAGATTTGGTTTTAACAAAAAAGCTGTTTATTTTATAAAAGAAATGAAGAATAAAATTGAATAAACCAAATTATTTACATAAAACACAAGTTTACAAGCTACATGGTAAAATACAGACACAATAGCACTCCATCACAGTGCTGTCACCAGTGAGAGAATTCCCTTCTGTATCACATAGAGTTTGACTTACCCATGGTTTCAGTTCCCTGGTTGAGAGCTTAGACTTTCTCAGCTTAACATAATCTTTCAATGTTCTAACCAAACATTTGTGGTCTGAAACTTTAAACTCCTGCACTGAGGTAATCTGTTAACAGCTTTAAATTATCTCCTTTCTTTAGCAGCAACTGTTATACACCTCCAATTCCATGCAAAACTTCTGCAAAATTGCCCAACTGAAACTAAAAAAAGCTTTTCCAAGCTATGGGTACTTCACCTTAGCCAAAAATCATGATAGAACCTTATCCCTGAAGCTTAATTAGCAATTCAATTTGTAAGACTCTCCCAATGTAAACAGATTCCCATTTGCTTCCAAGAACTGTCTCTCTAATATTGTTTTAAATAGACCAGATCAACATCCCACTAGTTCAAGATTCAAGCTCTAAATTAAATAATTTTAAAATGTATATATAAATCACTTACATTGCATCTGAAAGTGCATTGTGATGTTGCCTCATGCCTTCAAGCTTCTCAGGAAAAAAGTAATTGGAAATGTTTTCAATTTTTCAGCAACTTACTCTTAATAGAGGGAGGGGGCGATACTGTATCTGGTATTGGGAAATGAGCCTGGCCAGGAGAGCAAATTTTCAGTGGGGGACCATTTTGGGAATAGTGACCATAATTCCATATGTTTTCAGATACTTATGGATAAGGACAAGATTGGAACTTGGATGCAGGTGTTAAATTGGGGGAAGGCCAACTATAACCAAATTAGGCAAGAATTGGAGAATGTGGATTGGGAGCTGCTGTTCGAGGGTAAATCTGTGTGGGAGTCTGTTAAAGAACAGTTGATCAGAGCGCAGGACAGGCATATTCCTGTGAAAATGAAGGATAGGAATGGCAGGATTCAAGAACCTTGGATGACGGGGAAAAGTATCAGCTTAGTCAAAAAAAAGGAAGCATGCCTAAGCTCTGGACAACTAAAAACCAACAAAGTACTTGCAGAATATAGAGAAAGCAGGAAGGAGCTCAAATAAAGAGTTAGGAGGGCCTAAAGGGGCCCTGAAATGTCCTTGGCCAGCAGGATTAAGGAAAATCCAGAGGCATTTTATACACATATTAGCAGCAAGAGGATAGTTAGGGGAAGCGTAGGCCCACTCGAGGATAAAGGAGGGAGGTTGTGTGTGGAGACTGAAGAAATGGGTGAGATCCTTCATAAGTGTTTCACATCGGTATTTACCAAAGAGAGGGACATGAGGGATGTTGTGGTTAGGGAAAGGTGTGTGAATACCTTTAGGTCAATAGGTCAACATAATGAAGGATGAAGTGTTGGGTGTCTTGAAATGCATTAAGGTAGACAAGTCCCCAAAGCCAAATGGGATCTATCCCAGGAATACTGTAGGGAGGCAAGGGAGGAAATAGCCGGGGCCTTAACAGATATCTCTGCATCTTCTTTGGCCTCAGGTGAGGTTCCAGAAGTCTGGAGAACGGCCAATATTGTTCCTTTGCTTAAGAAGGGAAGCACATAATCTAATTACAGGCCAGTGAGCCTGACATCAGTGGTGGGGAAGCTGTTGGAGAAGATACTGAGAGACAGGATTTATTCACGTTTGGAAGTGAATGGACTTGTCAGTTATAGGCAGCATGGATTGTGCAGACAAGGTCGTGTCTCACCAACCTGATTTGAGTTTTTTGAGGAGGTGACAAGAATGATTGATGAAGGAAGTGGATGTTGTCTACGTGGATTTCAGTAAGGTATTTGATAAGGGAGCTCATGGCAAGCTGGTACAAAAAGTAAAGTCTCATGGGATCTGGGGTGTGCTGGCTGGTTGGATACAGAACCGACTTGGTCATAGAAAACAGAGTAGCAGTGGTGAAAGGGTGCATTTCAGAATGGAGATCAGTAACTAATGGTGTTCCACAGGGATCACTGTTGGGACCTTTGTTGTTTGTAATATGTATAAATGATCTGGAGGAAGATGTAGGTGATATGATTAGGAAGTTTGCAGATGATGCCAAAATTGGTGGAGTTGAGGTAGTGAAGAGGATTGTCAAAAGATATAAATTGCAGATTTGGGCAGAGAAATGGCAGATGGAGTTTAATCCAGACAAACGTGTGGTGATGCACTTTGGAAAATCAAATTCGGGTGCGAATTACCAATAAATGGCAGAACCCTTGGGAGCATTGACATACAGAGGAATCTTGGCATTACAGGTCCACAGATCCCTGAAAGTGGCAACACAGGTGGATAAGATGGTCAAGAAGGCATACCGCATGCTTGCCTTCATCAGCTGGGGCTTCAAATACAAAAATTAAGTTACCGCTGTATAAAACTTCAGTTAGTCCAACATTTAGGATACTACATGCTGTTCTGGTTGCCTCACTACCAGAAGGATGTGGATGCTTTGGAGAAGGTGCAGAGAAGGTTTACCAGGATGTTGCCTTGTCTGGAGGATTTTAGGTATGAGAAGAAGTTGGATAAACTCGGATTGTTTTCGCTGGAAAAATGGGGCTGTGGGGGTGACCTCTTAGAGGCGTAGGTAGACTGGATAGTCAGGCTTTTTCCTAAGGTAGAAAAGTCAGCTACAAGAGGGCACAGGTTCAAGATGAGAGGGAGAATGTTTAGGGGAGAAGTGCAAGAAACCTTCTTCACAGATGGTGGTGGGTGTCTGGAGCTCAGTGCCAGTGGAGGTGGTGGAAGCAGGCATGTCAGCAACGTTTAAGGTGTATCTTGATAGACACACAAATGGGAGACAAACAGAGGGACAGAAACTGCGTCTGGGCAATAAGTAGTGTAAACAAGGATTAGGAATTGTGGGCTGAAGGGCCTGTTCTTGTGCTGCACTGTATTGTTCTAATAGTGAGCTAATTGTATTCGACTGAACATTTATGTTCCACCGCCGATCTCCATCAGTCTTTAATCACTCTAATTGATTTTCTTTATATCTGCTACAGTATGTGTGGTTTAACATCGGTAGTGTGGATACCTTTGAGCGGAATCTGGAGACGGCACAGCAGGAACAGGGCATAGAAGGTGAAAATAGGATACCTGTAGTATATTCAACAGAGAGTGATGGGTAAGAAATGAGTTTGTTCATGCCTAATTGCTTTATTTTGGAAAAAAAAATTTCACTGTTATCTTTTTCGTAGTCTGATTCAATGCCCTTACTATTCTCAATTTATGCCCCATAGAATCCCTACAGTGTGAATATAGGCCATTTGGCCCATCGAGTGTGCACTGACGCTCCGTAGGGAATCTCACCTAGCCCCCGTAATTTCTTCCTATTAATATCAATATGCATCAACAATAATAATTTCATAATCTTCATTGTGGACAATTTTTACAGTAGAGATGCAGCAAATGGGTGAAGAGTGAAACGACCATGCAGTGGGTAGGAGGAACAATTTTTCGATCATATTTCCTGGCCTACGGGACCATAGTATTGCACAAGCTGGGATATTTTTTACAAACTGGTAGCAAAATGTCTTGATGCCTGCATGAAATGCAATGAATTCAATATTTGTTCTTAGTTATAAATGACCTAATTAGCCTGTTTAACCTGACTAAGAAATGAGATTTCAGATCTGATTTTCAACTTATACTGTTATTGGACTTAACCAAGAAAGTGAGTTCGGCGGGTCACGGGCAGTTTGCCTCAGAAAAGGAAAATTGTTTGATGGACATGCATTGCACTTTATGCGCAGTGTTGCAGCTATGAAGTTGTTGGCACAGGGGAATAAAACAAGTTAATAATTATACCCTTTCTTAGCCTTAGTTGATTTTGCAACTAATATAATGTAGAATGCCTTGACATCCTCGCCTGTTGCTAATATTACCTCTCATTCACAAGTAGTTACACTGCCTGCAGTATATTCAGTTGCACAAAAAGACACTGACCCTTGGTTGATACTGTCCTGACTTTGCTGCATCTTGTTCTGTTTTGGCTATTCGTGCCCGTTTGGGTCATCCTGTGTTGGTTCCTCCTTTTGTTCCAGAGCCTCCAAAATGACTGGGTGAATGAGACATATCTTGGAAAATGGAATGAACTGTCCAAATAAGGCAGTGAAGCTCTGTTCAGCACTTTCTATATGGCTGTCTTTCCTGACTTAGCAGTTTACTTTGAATTGGCCACACTCTGCAGATACTCTGTATACCCCAATGTGGATAACTGTCTCAGCCCGAGCTCTGACTACCTCTTATTGTCACGTGTGTCCTTCGACACTTGTGCATTGACCCTGGAGCTGCAAGGCTCATAGCTTCAGGCACCTTGGTCCTCCCTCTGCTTTCCCACCCCCCTTCAACCTCACCATTGATTTTCCCTCTATCATCTCTGTCATGCTTGAGCTCGCAAAAATAAATATCCTCTTTCCCCTCCATCCAGTGATCTCACTGTGCCCCACGCAATCCGTTAAGGCCCAGCACAACCAACCTGCCTTCCTGCGCTCTGACAGCCGTGCCCCAACCACCCTCCTTCCACAGACAAATGTCCTTACCTCACTGAACATCAACATTGTCCCTCCCACGGACAGCCATGCTATGGCCTCCCTGGGCAGCTGTCACCCAAGTTCAATGCAACAGCTCTGTCTCCTTTCCACTGGCTGAGAGACATTCCCGATGTAAAAACAGTTGATCCTGTTCATTCCAAGTCCTCATGGAAGGCTACTTCACCCGCTGCACATTACCTTTAACCACTCATAACTCTGAAGGCACACGTTTCTCATTTGTTGCTGACTTAATCAGACAGGCATAATTTAGGATGGCAGTCATATGTTGTAATGATGAGGATTCATGACTTGCTAATACATTAAAAATAGGTTCTTGCAGCTTGCCATTGGGAATCTGTCTTTTATCCTCTGTCCATTTAATTACCAACTTCTAGTTTGCTCTTGAAAAGCTGACATTTCACCCTCTGCACAATTCAGTGCCCCACCAACCTCCTTTCCCACTCTCAGTAGCAGCATAACTTTCACTCTAGGTGGTAATGTTATGAAAAAAAATAATGTCAACTCAGTATATTTTCCCTTTTAGTTTTCCTGTTGCTCATCACAAATCTCAAGTAAATCTCGACTTTTTAATATATTGTTTGGGAAATGGGTGATGTTTATCTACATTTACTGGCCGTCTCAAATTGGCGTGATAAGGCCATAGTCAAGCTTCTTGAAGCTGTTTGATACAATTTTGTGACTTGCTAGGCTACTTCAGATGATAGTTGAGTCAACTGTTGGTGTGATCTAGGAGTCACAGATGGCCTGTACTGTTTATGACTAGCACACTTGCTTTCATAAAGATTGTTGGGAAAACTGTTGAGTTTTTCCAAAATCCAAAGCCACTTTTAGTGATGCCAGCTTTTTATTTTCAAATATTTTTAACTGAATTCAAATTCTCAAACTGCATTTTGTATCATTTGGCCTAACTTTGTCTGGGTTGTTAGTCCTTTAACAAGCCATTAAGCCATTGCACTTGCGCAACCTTTTGTCCATTCTTTTCAACTTACACTGACATGGACGCATTCTGAAACTAATTTTAGATTGAGAAAATACTTGTATATCCTTTTATATTGTCAAATTGGCATTGAAAGTACAGACTTGCAGCAATGCCAATCGACAATGCCATTTCCATTATTTTAATCCCTTCTGGTCAAACAGTTGGGTTTATATTACAAGCCTTGCATACTCTCAAATTGGTTGCTACATCCATTCATTGAAAAATGTTTCTGCTATAAAATATTATAATATTCTCCTGTCTCAACTTCCATTTTGTTTCTGGAATGGATACCTTGTGTACATGAGAAACTAAGTATAAAAAAAGACTTAGCTAAAAGTTGAAGGTCTGTTGCCTAGCTTTTTGCAACAGTGTTCCATGACTAGTATAGCCCACTCTCCGGAAAAAGTGCCTTAATTTGAGTGCTCCCTTGATTGAGTGGGAAATCAATGGCATGAATCTGTGTCTTGTACAATGCCTCAAGTATTGACAGTCTAACATTAACCAGACTGAATGATGACATTTAAGTTTGAAAGTTATAACTTTGTTAATCTGGCAGGTATATTTCATTTTACGAAGTGTTGAATTTTCAGTGTTTTGAATATTTTATTGACTCAAGTCAAGTTTATAGAATCAAATTTTTAGGCTAAGTGTAGAGAGTCAGCTTTTACATGAGTTAAACCTTCGAGGGGTTGAAATCCATGGCAAACTTTTTTAATGGTTTTGACAGTTTGTATTTGCTGGCCATGTTCTGAATTCAGCAGGAACTGCTATCCCAGTCTGCATACTGGAAGTTCTTATGTTTAATGAGAAAAAGACATTGTGAAAAAGACTTTTCATGCCAACCATGCTCCCAAAACTAGCACAAAATGTAGGAAAAATTAAATGTTTTGAGGCCAAATGTTGACTGTTATGAGATATTGAGTATTACGTTATTTCATGATTTTGACATTTGCAAAAGAAAATGCAACTAACCATGCTTGCACTAAAAACTTCACTTGATTTATGACATTTGTTTTATTTGTTCATGGGGATGTGGGTATTGCTGGTTGGGCCAGTATATATTGCTCATCCTTTAGATGCCTTTGAGAAGGTGGTGGTGAGTTGCTTTCTTGAATCGTTGCAGTCATCTGCTTCAGGTAGACCCACAATGTAGTTAGGGAAGGAGTTCAGAAATTTGTAGATATTGTAGACTATTTAGCACTTATTTATCATATATGTAAATACACATAACATTTTTGTTCTAATTTTAATCCAAAATAGATGCAATGCTATTTGTCTTAAAATCGTGTGTAACAGTCCATTATGGCTATAGCTGGAATTTTTGGATTCTGAATTTCATGCCATCGAGCATATGCCTACAACTTAAAACAAGGACCATTTTATTTATAAAATGATGTCCATCAGACATTGAGTCAACATTTTACTGTAGAAGTGTGTATATTTTCCACAATTGATGCCCTAAATACCATTCGGTTCTGAAAGGCTAATTTGTTCTTACAACATCCAATTTCTTGCGTAAAGTAATTTTTAAAAAAAACATCGTAATATTAATTAAAAACAGAATTGCAGATGTTGTAAATCAGGAACAAAAACAGAAGTTGCTGGAAAAACTCAGCAGGTCTGGCAGCATCTGTGAAGAAAAATCAGAGTTGACGTTTTGGGTCCAGGAACCCTTCCTCCTGTTCTGAAGAAGGATCATCAGACCTGAAATGTTAACTCTGATTTTTCTTCACAGATTGTAATATTAATGTTTTCCTATTTTGACGTAATCCTTCTTATTCTCCTTTTAGCTCATTTCTACTGAGCATGCTTCCTACTATACTGATCATTGGATTTCTGCTGTTTACCCTAAGAAGAGGGTCAGCAGGAGTTGGCCGAACTGGACGTGGCATGGGTGGATTGTTTAGTGTTGGTGAAACAACAGCCAAGGTGCTCAAGGATGAAATTGATGTAAAATTCAAGGATGTTGCAGGATGTGAGGAAGCAAAGTTGGAAATAATGGAATTTGTTAATTTTCTAAAGAATCCAAATCAATATCAAGAACTTGGAGCCAAAATTCCAAAGGTAAGTCGCCTTTTGAGACAAATCCAACTTCAAGATGTGAAACTGCAGTGAGTGACATCTGAATGTAGCAAAGTATCATTAACCTACTGCTATAGGTTTACTGTTGACTTAGGATCCCTGTTTATACAGAGTTTTGAGGATAATATGCTAATACCCCAGTCTTCCAAATGTGATGGGCAGAGTCAATCTGCACTGCTATGGGTCTAGAGTCTCATGTAGGCCGGACCAGGTAAGGATGGTAGTTTCCTTCCCTTGAGGACATTAGTGAACAAGGTAGGTTTTTCCGACAGTCAGCAATGGATTCATCATTATTCTCCTAATTCCAGATTCTTATCAGATTCAAATTCCACCGTCTACCATGGTGGCATTTGAACCCGAGTCCCCAGAACATTATCTGGGTCTCTGGATAAACAGCCCAGTGATAATACCACTAGGCTTATATGCACAATTCCAGATGAGACTGAGCCGAAGTCCTGTGTTGGTTCAGTTTCCTGTCCTAACTTTAAAAAAAAATTCTGACTATTGATTGAAAAGGTTAAGCAATTTACTGAGCATAAAGTGGATCAATTTACATCATACTTGAAGGAGCATCTTTTTTGTTGTATTCAGCCCAAGCCCCATAAACAAATTTTAAAAATAGTTAGTTAATTAAAAGCAAAATTAAACCAGCATTGGGTCAGGAAGTAAGTTGCATGGCGGTGTAATGATCTACATAAACCAAGTAATTTGCTTTTTTTTGGATCAGAAAACTGTACTTTATAATTGTACCCATGAACGAATTAATGAGCTTCTCCAAACCCCATTCAAAGTGAATTACGCATTCTTTTCACAGGGAGCTATTCTTACAGGTCCTCCAGGCACTGGGAAAACTTTACTAGCGAAGGCTACTGCGGGAGAGGCCAATGTTCCATTCATCACAGTTAATGGCTCTGAATTCTTGGAAATGTTTGTTGGTGTGGGTCCTGCTAGGGTAAGTCTTATGGTATTTATTTTGAAATTCTAAGTTCTGAATGACCTAATGGTCTCTTTATAGGTGACCTTTTTTATAGAAAGGACCTGAAGAGGCCTTCAGAAGAAGGTCATGTCCATTCCTGAATGGATGACTTTAAGAGTTTACAATAACTAACACCTCCTTGGCCATTTACCACAAATACATGTATATATCAAGACAAATGTAGTGAGGAGATACGCAGCAGCCCAAGAAGGCCAACAGGGTAGTAAATTTGTTCCCTTTAACAGTACTGGTTCAGTTTGATTAAAGCTTGATCAATATTGTTTGAGCGTAAAACAAGAGTAAGCCATTCAACTCTTCACATCTGTCTTGTATTCAGTCTGTTTAAAATTGATGTGTAAATCCATTTACCCAGTCTTTAATCCATTACGTACCTTTATCTAACCAAACTCCATCGTTTCCAGTATTAAAATGTCAATTGATCGACAGCCTTTCGGGAAGAAAGTTACAAATCACTACACCCTCTGAGGAAAAGTAATTCTTGATATAATTCCAATGTGGCCTACCTCAGGTTTAAAGATTGTAGCCCCTTGTTTTGGATCTCCCCCAAATAGAAATTCCTCTATTGAAGACCTTTGGAATTTTACATATCTTGATTATATCTTCTAAACTTAAGATAATTCAAACCAAATTTATGCTATCCTGTCCTCGTAATTTAGCCTCATCAGCGCCTGTATCAATCTGGTGAGTCTGTGCCTTACTCTCTAAAAGGTCAATTTATCCTTTCTGTACTTATTGTGCTGCCTATCTTAACTTCATCTGCAAATTTTGCTGTAGACTTCTGCCGTCATGCAAGTTGTTGAAATGTATAATGTAAAGATGCAGCCCTGGTACAGGTCCTTGGAGATTTTCACTTGTCACATCCTTCTAATCTTAATACACTAGTTCCTGTTCTGTCTTCTACTTTCCAACTAAATATTTGCCAGGAAGTTGTCGTTGTCCATTTTCATTTACTCAGTGATCAGACCTGTTTTTTTTTTCTGAATAAGGGTCTAGGCCCGAAACGTCAGCCTTCCTGCTCCTCTGATGCTGCTTGGCCTGCTGTGTTCATCCAGCTCTACACCTTGTTATCTCTGTTGGTCATATGTTGGGTTCTGGCACGTACTGTTCCTTTAAAATCAATCCTCAGGATTTTGGGATACTAGATACATCGTCTTTATTAGTAGTGCATTTTGATTTATTGCAGTTAAGGGGTGGCATTGATGGTTGTGGATTTTTCATCCTGTACTTGAATAAATCAATCTCTGATTAGGTATAGAGTAAATCACAAATTGAGTAAAGATTCCTGCTCTGTGCTGCAGTTCCACTTTAAACAATCAACAGCTGTGCTGGCCAGCTCCTATCCCTTTCTACTGTTTACTGTAGCCATGAAGTGTTGAAGGCTGATTGACGGAAATACATTTTATGAAGATTTGTGCTGTGAAATAGCTGTATTAAAAACTTTAAACAAGCAAATAACATTTGTAGTGTGTAATCTACAATTGTCAGTTTGTCCCTGTGTATTTTATCCATCCCTGGCAAGAAAATCAGTTGTCAGCACAATACATAAAAAAGGGTCCTGGTCAAGCATTAGTTGTCATGCTTCTAAACTGCTTTTCCAAATTCAAAAAAATCAGGTCATTGACAGACAGACTCTAATGTCTTTTTCTGATCTCAATCTGTCAATGTACATTAATCAATTCTGTACCTGCTTCACTTTCTGTTTATCCAGTGAATCTCTCCTTATATAATTTTTACCTTGTATTTTGCCATGTACTTAAGGTAAAAAAAAAAATTGATTAGATTTCATTGTCACTTGACAGATTGACTGACTGTTTTCTTATAAATCAGACTGCATCTGAATAAAATATTCTGTTTTGAACAGTTTTGATATTAATATTACAATCTGTTGTTTAAAATCTGAATTTGCATCACAATATGTAGTCAAATGATTGATCTCTTGCACATTTTTCAGACTGAATGCTTCTGTGCATCATACCTTGGTATATGCAATACATGTTCCGTTGAAAATTATTATTTAATTAGCTTTTCCGGGAAATTCCATTTGAAAGTAATGCATGCCCATGAGTTCTCATCAAATAATGCTTTCTTAAAGAGAGTCAGAATTTACTATTTTAAAAAAAACCTGACCATTATTTACATGCAGATCAGCCAGTAGATACAGTAGATCAGAATTGCATGGTTAAACACACAAACTCATAATTTCAAAACTATGCGAGAGCTCAATAAGCTGTACAAACATAATATCTCATCATTTGGCTGTTCCTTCAAATGTATGAGAGCTGTGTACCTGCAAGATAGGTGCAAATTAAATCTATGCAAAAAAATAGATATTGTCCATTGCTGTCTTAAGTATCCTGATGGGCTGCGAAGTCTTAATTACTGTCAAACAACTTCTCAAAATTAATCAAATGTGGAGCTTCATCTTTGACATTTTACGCAACCGTTTTTTAAAAAAGCGGTTCATTTTTTTTCCTATATCTTTTTCTGTCTTTTTTTTTAAAAGATGTGAAATATGCAAGAGCATCAGTCCTTCACTGGGTATTTGTGTTTCCAAACTCTATCAGAGATTCTCGTCCAGAGTGTAAGCTTTTCATGGGAACTCTATAATCGGGTAGTTATGCACTGTTACAGATGCCAATTTATACCATCTAGAAAGACAGGTGTTACTTAAGAATGCCACTGCCTGCAAGTTCACCTCGAAACCATTCACCATCCTGACTTGGAATTGTATCACTATTCTTTCACTGTTGCTGGGTCAAATTTTGTCACTTTCTCCTATTAGCATTGTGGGTGTCCCTACATTTCAAAGATTGCAAAGCAGCTCACCACTGCTTTCTCAAAGGCAGTTAGGTTGGCCAGTAAATGCTAACCTACCCAGTGATGCCCATATCTGCTGAATGAATTTTAAAGAAGGCTACTTCCACAAGCACGTGTTTGGCTATAAAGCACTTTACGATCACTTGAAATCATGTAAAGTACTAAAGAATTATAAGTCGTTCTTTTACTTTACTTTCTCTTTACTTTTTACTTTACGTACTTTACTCTCTATAAGCCGGTCTTGTTTCAGTAAATTTATACCAAGTACATAAACATCCTGAGTAACTTGTCACTCATCTAGGTGCGAGACCTATTTGTAATGGCAAGGAAAAATGCTCCTTGTATCCTGTTCATCGATGAGATTGATGCTGTTGGCAGGAAAAGAGGTCGAGGTAACTTTGGAGGACAGAGCGAGCAGGAGAACACACTAAATCAGCTACTGGTAGAAATGGACGGTGAGTACAATTTACTGGTTAAACTAGTTTTTTTGTTGGGGGATGTCATTGTCAGTGGTGAGTTGGAGTCTTGGTTCATAGTTAACCAGCAGTTAAAGTTAGTTTTTAATCCTGGACCTCTTGCTAGGTGACTATTAACCTTAAGAGTCAGAATGCCCCACATTTTAAGGCACTTTTGGCTTGGTTGAATCCAGGTACAGTAGAGTTTTTCATCAAAGATTTCAATTTCCTGGTCACTTCCCATGAGTCAGCTGGTACTGGTGCTCAACTCCAGTCTGTTATTCTAATGATTTAAGCATGTTAGCTGCAGTCACTGACTGTATTACAAATAATGATCTTCTATTTGTATTGGTCACTTAGCATGTATCTTTATGGAAGGAAACATTATCTCAGCACTGAGATATTTATGCATACATTTTAAAACTGCAGTATAAACTGATGGCTCAGGAAGGCCATGTTCGTACAGATGCTTCATTTAAAGATGTTATAAAGGAGACATCACAGATCGGAATATTTTAATTTCAGCATCATGCGTGGAATATGTAGGAACGTTTTAAAACTGTACCTAAGCATTTTTTCTGAAATTTTCAGAGTTCTGTTCATATCTACATTCAGCTTGACAGTGCATAGCCAAATTGGGGAATGATGGGTTGCTTTCTTTCCCCACTGCATTAATTTAAATAAAATGATTCTTGCTCCGGGTATGATATTTCCACAGTGAAGTATTCTACATTGCATTTAGTTTTCAGCTTGTCCCCCACCTCCCTTCCATTTTACATGTTTCTGTGCAACAGCATCTCCTGTGCTGAGCTCCCCTCTGCACTTCTTTGTTTAACCACTAGATGGTGCACAAGAATGATCAGCATTGATACCCTGGACAACAAGGTGCAGGGCTGGATGAACACAGCAGGCCAAGCAGCATC